GTATTCACCTGATTTATCACCTAATGACTTCTTTTTGTTCCCAAACATTAAAAATAAGATGCGTGATGAGCGATTTGAGTCGCCTGAAGCAGCTGTTGAAACATTTCGTACACTGATATCTGAGTTACAGCTTAGAGTGGAAAAAATGCTTCGAAAATTCGAGCGTATGCAAAAATGTATCGATCTTAAAGACGAATACTTCGAAAAACAATAAAGTCATTTACCGAATTGTATATGTTTTTTTTCATATTGTTTGCAGAAACTTTTCCAACAGCCTACGTATTAGCACATGCTACGCTAAACCGTTACTATGTAGAACTTATATGTGATCAAATAATACCATTCACATCAAAATGCTCGAAGTCTACTATGAAGCTGAGGTCTACGATAAACGAATGTGTCAAAACAACATACCTTTTTTTTCTCGGTTATAAGTTTGTCGTATGTATATACTCATGATTTTCTCTAACTTAGCTATAATGAGCAGTTGTAACAACTTTAAATAAGGTTCAAAATGAATACAGATTCAAATTAACGAATTAGGGCTAAAGGAGCCATGCTGAATCGGTTACGGTGATCAATAAACAATTTTTAAATTAAAAACGCGTTTTGATCATTTTACGATGATCATCTCTAGTAAAATGATCGAAACATTTGCAATTTAAAGATTAATGTTTAACATAATTTTTTTATAATACATGTCAAATATTAATACAATCATATAAAACAATAATACAAAAAATAATTAAGAAAAACTTTTATTGTCAGTATTTAATCTTGTAAAGAAAAATATAAATAATTTACATTTATTACGCAATTAATTACATAGACAAAATATTGAAATTATGTAACATTATAATAATTAACATTAATTTTTCGATCTTTTAGAAGAATTATAAATTTTTATCAAAAAATTAACAATATCAAATACGTCTTATATAAAATTATTGATATACAGTGTGTCTTGCAATTTTTTTGCAAGAGCTTTTGTATAAATAGGGCGGACTAAATTGATTGTGAGTCCAAAAGTTTTCTACCATTTTATAATTTTTGCAATGGTTAACGAGATATTAATTACTAAAAATTGCTGAATATTAATCTTCAATAATTTTTTACTCAAATACTATGAATTTTACAGAAAAACAGCAAAAGATAAACATTTTTTATTTTCTTCTCATTGAGCTTGAAAAATTTTTTCGAAATTTTTTATTAATTTTTTAGTAAAGATGCATTTTCGTTTATATATAGATATATATTTCTGGAAAGTTAATAGTATTTTTGTAATGACATCTTCATGTTGAGGCACAAAATTTTTCAAACAACCCTCGTATTTTTTGGTCATGTTGTCTTTCTTCTAGGTATTAAAATAGTGATATAAAAAAATATGATTCCTCTAATTATTCTGAAACCAATAGTTTACGAAATATTTTCTTTCTCTCTTTCTTATTTTGGCATATATATTGACATAAAATATTAAATAACTCGTAAACTATTAATTTTTTGATAATTATATCTTAATACTTTTATGAAGAGAATAATGAGATATGAATCAATTGGTGGAAAGAAAACACATAGTTGCTTATTTAAAAAATTATCCATTTTGCATGTATACTTTTTAAAAGTAACCATGTGTTTTTTTTTCCATCAATTGATTTATCTGATGATTCTAGTCATAAAAGTATTAAGGTATGATTATAAAAAAATTAATAGTTCACGAGTTATTTAATATTTTAAGGTAAAACTAGTAAACTGTTAATTTTTTTATAATTGTACCTTAATACTTTTATGAACAAAATAATGAGATAAATCAATTAATAGAAAGAAAACACATAGTTGTTTTAAAAAAATACGTATGCAAATGGATAATTTTTTAAAAAAACAACTGCGTTTTTTTTCATTAATTGATTTATCTTATTATTCATAAAAGTATTAAGATACGATTATCAAAAAATTAATAGGTTACAAGTTATTTAATATTTTATGTCAATATATGCTAGAATAAAATAAAGAGAGAAAATATCTCGTAAACTATTGGTTTCAGAATAATTAGATTTAATCATATTTTTTTATACCACTATTTTAATACCTAGAAGAAAGACAACATGACCAAAAAATACGAGGATTATTTGAAAAATTTTGTGCCTCAACATGAAGATGTCATTATTCATCAAAACCATTCTGGTACAACAATCGTACATGTTTTGCAAGATACCTGTGAAAATTGTAGCTATTGTGGACGCTCAGTTGTTGTTTGACAGTCATTTGTGTCAGTCGATGTCAGTATTTTTGTTAAAATGGAAAAATCGAATATCGACGATCGCCATAACAAAAATTTACAAATTGCGGTTTGAATTAATTAACTACCCACCATATTTATTACATAATCCCACTGATATTTTTAGGTTCAAAATTAAGCTCGGAGGACACAGATTTTCATCAAATGTTTATTTTCATAAACACTGATATCGTCTGGCAAAAATGACTCTTAAACAACAATTGAGCGTCCAAAACAATTTTCACAGGTAATATCTTGCAAAATATATACGATTGTAGTACAGAATGGTTCTGACGCATAATGTCATCTTCATATTGAGGCTCAAAACTTTTGGTCTTTTAATGATAGTATACTAAGTTTAACTATATGTGTGTGTGTATCATTAAATTACTCATGTATATGATTTAGATGTTATATAGAGTTTGAAAAAGACTCCGTGAAGTCGAAACGTAAATCAAATTGTGTTTGTAAGAAAATATATAGTTTTATGCATGTCTTCATCCTTATATACTTGCTCGTAACTATTATTGTTTCTAATATTCTAGGAAATGAAAAAGTTACAGAATATTAAAGTTAGAAGTTCCACTGTATTGTTAAAACTAGCGAGTTATTTAGGTGACCTGTTTTAAATGCCTCACTCTGTATAGTATATGTATATATACGGGGTATCTTAAATAACACCCACTAATCATACAGTGCTATTTTTAATAAAAAACTGAGTCGAGAAGTCCTCTATCATTTTCGCAATAATTAACGAAATATTAATTTCGAAATATTGCCAAATAAACGAATAAAATCAATGTATGAAACAATTTTAAGATACCTTTCATTCTTTATAAAATATTTTGAAGATGTTTCTTTAAAAACTCTTAAAGATATCTTAAAATTGTCTTATACGTTTTAGACATTTTGCTCATTGAGTAATTAAAAAACAATATTGCGAAAATTGCAACATGATAGAGGACTTTTCACTCAGTTTTTTATTAGGAATGGCACTATGTGATTAGTGGGCGTTATTTCAGATACATATACCACATATATGCATATACAAATTTTAATTAACTATTGGGCGACTGAAATAATTGCGTAAGACGCAATTCTGTGGCGCAAAATGGCTTTGTTTTCTTTATCTAACAATTTATGTGTGCAATTTTAGACTAAAATTATTCCCTAATGAATAATAATAACACTTTTCTGATAATAATGATCGCCACGTTTTCTATCTCATTTATCGATAAACAAACTAAATTTTTCATAATTACAAGCTTTTACAGTGATTATGGCAACCATCATTTAATTTATTTTTGCTAAGGTAGTACTAGTATAAAATGATTTTCTTACAAATATGCTAAAATTTGGTATACAAGTAAGTTGAAGTGCTCTCTATGTTTGTGTGCAATTAGAAACATATTGATCATCTAGTTTTTGAGATAATTGTAATTAAAATATGCAATTTTGCAACATGTGAAGCATATACGTAACTCAAGTTAACGTCAGATTTTTAATTATAGCATCCATACCATTCTTAGGATTGTTATAAAAAACGAGCACACGATGAATAAATATGAAACAGATATTGTAAAAAAAGGTCATAATATTTGATCATTTGGTTAGAAAAATAGAGCCGCGAAAAGAACGTAATGTTTTTCTTTGCTAACTGAAGGGAGTAGTGAGAAGTAGAGGGAACGGCCAGCGAACATTTGACAGCACCGGCGTTAGTATGGATCTGTGTATTCATTTTTTTTCCGCGTGTGCGTGTGGTCTTGGAACAATCGAAAGTTTTCTTTCTCTGGCGGGAGTGAGATATCGCCACTGAGCGCCGCAACAGGACTAAACTTTTGAATGATATTATCACGCTAGTACTACCTTAAATGTTTGAGCCAATATTTCGAAAGTATGATGTAAATCCAGTTCTGCATCTCAAGCCATTTTAACAAGCAGCAAATTGGAAACAATAGTCGAAATTTTATCAAAATAGCTGAGACTAGTTTTATAACACTTTCAAAAGATAACGAATTAATTTATCATTTATATAAAGGCTTTACTCGCGACATGAAATTAATTATAGCAGATCCTAATTTCACTGGATCAGAACTAATGGAATTCATAGTTACATTCATTTGATACGAGATAAATAGAAAGCGGAAATAAGCGATTTACTACTTATATCTTTACCTGTAGTAATCAGTGCATATTCATTACTTTACCAAAATTACGATAAATAACGGTACATAAAATCATCTAAGAAGCCTCTCGTGCAAGATCGACAGATTAAATGCTAAATTATCCGATTTTGGCTAAATGATCTGATTATTATATCTCAAGCGAAATTCATCATGAATATTTTATATTCGACATTATTGTGTAATATAAACAGGATTAAAACCATTTTTTTCCCTACTTTTTCAACAGACTCAATAAATTTTATTTTCTCGTCCATACTTTTTTATACAAAGTTTGTTAAATTACTAAACACGCACACACACATGCACGCACGCGCGTGTGTGTACATTTATTTGTACATAATATCTTTTCAATGTTTCAATTTTTACATATAAAATTTATCAGCTTATATA